TTTGCTTTGAGGCTGAGATGCCATTGTGGCCGATACCAAAACGCGCGACTAAATTTGGCTAGGCGGAATTCATCTTAAAAGTTTTTGCCAGGTGTCATGCAGACAAGACATCCATGTTGACAGGAATGTCAACGGGTCGGGTTTGGTACGGGTTTGCGTCAAGCCTAACCCGGCCCTCCAGCACTCAAACCCAAACCCAATCTGACCCAGCTTAAAAATACATGATTCCTGAACCCGACACGACCATATAGGCCCTATAACCCAGTTCTGACCCGACTTGGCTCATATAGTTTTAAATATATTTTTTAACATATTTTGAAGATTTAAAATACATTAATTCAAATAATGAAATTATTTTATAGATTTTAAAGTGTTATTTTTTCCATTTTAAAAAAGAAGAAAATTAAAATCAACATATAAATAAATTATAAACTTTAAGCCTATAAAGTTAGAAGTCAAAAAATTGCACGAATACTTGGTATATATGCAAGGTGTCATGACCCAACAAGGCGGGTCAGCCAAAACCCGAACCTAATTCGGATCAATGAGTCAAAACCCTAACCCTCAAGCTGGAGTTACCATTTAACCTGACCCATTGACATCCCTATACGTTGTCTTTTATCTTTAGGGAAATTGCCTAAAACTATCACCATGAGTTTTCAATATTTCTCTTAAACTCACCATGTACAACTTTTCAAAATATCTAAAACTCACCATGTCAGTAAGTTTTTATTTTCCAAAACTCACCTTCCGTTAGTGCACTGTTAGTGCTTTTTAACAGAGGTGTCCATGTCTGCATAAATAACAACTTCCATGACCAAATTACCTTTGAATGGTGAGTTAGAGAAAAATTGGTCTTTTTCAGTTTTCAATTTTCTTTTTTTTTTTTTTGCATTTCAGTGTTTTTTTTTATAATTTCCAATGTATTTTATAATTTCTTTTTTTTACATTTTTCTATTTTCTACAATCTATAAATTTTCTCGTACTTTTGTTATTTATTTGTAATTTTTGTGTTTTTCTATAATTTTTGGTGTTTTTCTATAATTTTTATTTTCTGATTTTTTTTCAATTTCTATAGTTTCTATAATTTGAAAATAATTTTTATATTTTTTTTGTAATTTCTATGTTTTATGTATTTTATATTTGAAAATATTTTTTTGAACTTTTTTCCTTTTTTTCATGTCTAAATATTTAAATGGTAATATATTAACACCCGCTAATTTATTTTGTATATATTTTATATTTTTCTATGAAGGTTAAAATGGTAATGTATTAACGGTCGTTGGTCTCTTTAACGTCAAGTTAGTGACATTGTGAGTTTTAGACATTTTGAAAAGTTGTGAGTTTAAGAGAAATACTGAAAACTCATGATGAGTTTTAGACAAATTCCCTTATCTTTATATATATAAAAAGCGATCTTTTCATAATTGATTATTCAAAGTAGAGAACTAAAACGCGTTTGTCAACTGTTAAAATAGGGGATGGAGGCATAATGCGAGAAAGATTCCAAATTTAAAAGTACTGCATTCAGCATTTCGATGAGTCATAATCTACTCAACATTTAAGGTTAAACCATGAAGCAAGGACATTTTAAATTAGGGAAATTGTCTAAAACTCACCATGAGTTTTCAGCATCTCTTAAACTCACCACAACTTTTCAAAACATCTAAAACTCACCTTGTCAATAAGTTTTTATTTTCCCAAACTCATATTCTGTTAGTGCACCATTAATGTTACTTAACAGAGGTGTCCACATCAGCATAATTAATATTTTTTATGACCAAATGACCCTTGAATGGCGACTAAGAGGAAAAGGGTCCTTTTTAATTTTCAATTTTCTTTTTTTTTAGTCTTTTGTTATAATTTCTAATGTTTTTTATAATTTCTGTTTTTTTTTCTATTTTCTACAATCTATAAAATTTCCTGTATTTTTTGTTATTTATTTGAAATTGTTGTGTTTTTTTTATAATTTTTGGTGTTTTTTCTACAATTTTTATTTTCTGATTTTGTTTTTCAATTTCTATAATTTGAAAATATTTTTTTATTTTGTGTGAATTTCTATAATTTTTTATATATTTTTGCAATTTCTGTGTTTTTATGTAATTTATATTTGAAAATATTTTTTGAACATTTTCCTTTTTTCCATATCTAAATATTAAAATATATGTATATGTTTTATATATGTATGTATTTTATATTTTTCTATGAAGGTTAAAATGGTAATGTATTAACGGTCATTGGTCTCTTTAACGTCAAGTTAGTGACATTGTGAGTTTTAGACATTTTGAAAAGTTGTGGTGAGTTTAAGAGAAATGTTGAAAACTCATGATGGGTTTTTGACAATTTCCCTTTAAATTATTATTTACGAGAAATACTTGCTAAACAACTGAGTTTATTCGAACTCCTTTATTCTTCACCACAAACCTTGAAAAACACTCTAAAAGACAAAGTTGGATGTATGTTTTCATGGTCCCCACCCCCACCTTGTGGAGGGTAAAGATTATTACCTCAAAGCTTTATCATACGATATAAAGTTTATTTTATTTTTCTCCATTAAACTTGGTTTGAGAAGATTGAAGATACTGGTTCAGTGCATATATACATTCTGGTTCAGTTTTGCTGGTGTTTGATAAGAATACATTTATTTATATATCGAAAGCGGCCATTTTTACAAATTTCAAGACATATTTGCATTCAAAATGAGAGCAAAGTTTATAATAAAAAAAATTATAAACTTTGCATATGGACTAGAATGCACTCTACATATTTGTATTTATACTCTATTTGCGTTTTTCCCAGATTAATGCTTCAACTACCTGTTCTGAATCTTCTTCCAACAAACTCTTCTCACATCCCTACCCACAAGACATTATCACCATGTATTGGGAACATCTCATAATATATTCATGAATTTTGAAATAGATGCTTCCATATTGGCAGTTGTGTTTGTTGCCATTATCCTTGGGGGTGTTTACTATGTACATTGGTGTTGCACATCAATACAATTTGCTATTTCTACATAAAACATTAAATTATGTTTCTCTATACGTACATGCATTTTAATTAATTTCTTTTTGAAATGCTCATATATAACATAATAACACATAAATGAACTCAAAATTATTGCAATTTGCAAGGCAATGCAACCGTACCAAACACTCCTTTATCATGGGAAACAGTAGAACTGTATAGGTAAACGATGATTGACCAACTATTACGAGTACAACCGTAGGGGGAACGAACTCAATAGTAATGACTATAAGGAGGGTCTTTAAAGTTTAAACAACTTGGCTGGTAATTGATTAACCCACCTATACCATATATAGTTTTGACGAGTTCAACTGGACTCGGGTTATCAAAATATAGACCAACAATAGCACTGTAGAGGAAAGGACTCACTGTAGAAGATGGAGATGGGAAAAAGATGAGAACCAGTTGTGCAGCTAAATTTTATTCTTCGGTTCTTGGTTTACGATGAAAGACGTGTCGAGCTCAAAAACGTTGATTCCATTCCCAACTCTAGGACGTGGAAGTGGCAGGCAGCGGAACACTCGAGAAATCCAAATCCAACGTAACATGTTCCATTATTAATCCTAGCTAATGGAGAAAGAGAAAGGACTGAAGGGCCTACCGCCGAACACCTGTAGTGTTTACTAGACGACCATGTATAACCACGTACGGTTTAAAAGCTCCAATGACGACTTCTACTACTTCTAGTTCTAGACCTTCACTTCGAGAGAGGAGAGGATCAGAGGACTGCCTGTGCTAGATTCTTACCCTGTAATAGGACCCCTTTCAGGCTTTAACCTCTTCCCTCTAGTCTAGGGTTAACAGTAACATACCCAGAATTCCCAATGGGTGACTTATTAGTTGCAGGCCTAGAGCTATTTCCCAACTCTAGCTCTTCTTCATAGTCGTCTGTGATGGCTCTGGATTCTGGAGTCTGGACTGGAGAAGCGTAGCGTTTAGGATAAGGAGGCTTTTTCAGCTTATTGCACCTTCTTCTAATCTTCTTACAGCACTTCCACACTATTATAAGGGTTAATGAGAGATGAAAAAAGGTGGGGAGCCTGGAGGGGCAATATCATTACTGCATTTTCCACACTATTACAGCACATAAGGAGAATCATCGTCTAATGGGTTAATGATGACCCTATAAAGTATAAACGTGGAGGATCCACCGCCCTTCACCAAATTCTACTCATCTCGGGCCTTACAATGAAAATACCCGAATAGCGTATGATTACACTTACAGGAAAACTGTACTCTGTTCCTCCTAGAGTCATAATGTAGGTTATAAGCTGTAAGAGGGGAATCCCTCGTCTCTCTCTCTCTCTCACACACACACAGTAATTTGACTCGGATTCACATACCAAGGGCTATTATTGAAACAACGAGTTTCCCTTGTTTTTCCTTCTCTTCATTAGGGAATACGATGTGCAAATAAAAAAAAATTAAGATATCTGGTTCTTTCTTAGTCTAGCTTACAAAAATAAATAGATAAATAAAAAAACACATTCCCAAGGTTGTTGATAAGACGTCTTTTGGTCTAAGAGAATATGTATGGACTATGGAGAGAAGCATCTTAAAAGCCGAGTTGCCCATTTGACAAGAGATATTATCCCTATTATAATTTAAATTTACTAACAAAGTTGTATTCTCCATTCTCACTTCTCACTGAGAGAGAGAGGCAGAGAGCCCTACCCAGCAAGCCAAGACCTTATTGAATTTAAACTCTCTTCTAACTTCAAACCTTGTCATTCATGGGGAGATGTATGACCCAGATGTGTAGCTGGATTGCCGTATAATATAATTAAAGCGTGTTCTAGCACTAATTAATTATATATAGCAGCAGACAAGCTGGGAAGAAACTTGAATTAATAGCCCATCACTGTAGTGACTCGTGCCATATTTTTATTAAAGGGACAGCTCAGTCTGAAAGCTTTCAACTTGAAAGAAGCTCTTTCCGTAAATAGAGATATCCTGTCGTGAAGCATATTGGAGAATTTTGGTATGTACATAAGCTTCACAACCAAGCTTCACGTCTCTTTCTGCTTATAAAAGGCCTCGTGTTTCTTACATCCAATTCACCAAGCACACACACGCACACTGATCATACACAAACAGCCCATCGATCAGAGGCATCAACCCCGCCCTCCCTCCTCCCTCTTCCCTCTCTAGCTATATATCATATTAACCGTTACGCCATCATGGAAAGGAATTTAGAACCCTTGACTGTGGGGAGAGTAGTGGGTGAAGTTGTGGATGCCTTCACTCCCAGCGTGAAGATGAACGTCACTTACAACTTCAACAAGCAAGTCTACAATGGCCATGAGTTCATGCCTTCAGTAATCACCTCCAGACCTCGCGTCGAGATCGGTGGAGAGGACTTGAGGGCTGCATTTACACTTGTAAGTCTAACCAGAGAGAGAGAGAGAGAGATGTTGCACTTACACCATTATTTTAACTAAATTAATCTTCTGGTACTACCACTGTACCTCATTCATTCCTCGCTAATCTTTTCTCTGTTGCTACCTTTGAAGATCATGACAGACCCAGATGCTCCAAGCCCAAGTGATCCATATTTGAGAGAACACCTTCACTGGTTTGTGCTTTGCACCATAGACTTCACAACCCTCTAAATCGATCAGTTGTTTTTTTTTCTCTCTAGCTCTAGCTAAGATATGTTTTAATTTGGTTAATCTTCTTCTGAACTTCACTTTCAGGATTGTTACGGACATTCCTGGCACCACTGATGCATCCTTTGGTGGGTATCCCTAAAAAGGCTTATTTTGTTCTGCTTAACTGAGCTTAGCTAGAAATAGAATAAGCCTGATCTATATATACAGTTCTAACTTTGATGTCGTACTGACACGGATTTGTTTTGTCTTAAAAACAGGCAGAGAAATAGTGGGATATGAGACTCCGAAGCCTGTAATTGGTATCCATAGGTTTGTATTCATTTTATTCAAGCAGAAGGGAAGGAAAACAGTGAAGCCACCGGCATCAAGAGACCAGTTCAGCACAAGAAAGTTCTCGGAAGAGAATGGTTTAGGACTCCCAGTAGCTGCAGTTTACTTCAACGCACAGAGAGAAACTGCTGCTAGACGAAGATAAGGAAGACAGACAAAGCGAGTTCGTGCAGGGGGAGACTTTTGACGGCCTCTTTCAAATTTCAATCCATCAAACTGATTCTCCTTCACGGGGAGTGTCAGCACTTATTTTAGTTTCTCTTCTGTGTCTAGGGTTTGGCAACGTAGGATGGGTAGTAAACAGTATGGTGTGTTTGTCGTGGGTCCCACTTTTCATAGGTCTCTTCTTTTTATTAGCCACGTGGCAAGCTAAGGATCCACGGTAAGTCTGTGTACTAGTCTACTAGAGTATACTACTAGTCTATCGTGGAGTGTTTACTATATATGGTGTCCTACTCCTATATATGTACTTGCGGTCAGTTGGTCTTGTTCCCGTTTGGATTTCTATTGGAATAAATTGTTAATGCCTGATTTGCCTTCGTTGACGTTTTCTCCATCATGCAAGTTCACCTTCTTTTATCACAAAATTACTGAAGATTTGTTTAGCAGAGATAGAATTAAGAATACGCTATTCAAATACCGTTAATAATATAATATAATTAAACTTTATCTCTAATATATGTGTTGTTTTCGATTTAATAAAAACAAAGTTCAAAATATTGCCATGTATCAATATGTATCGCATAATATTCATCAACTTTCAGAGTTATCGCTAAATACTGAGAGTTTGAGCTGTTAATGGATTTAACGTTTTAAACATTAATATTTATCCTCATATATGCATTTTTTCATGTCAAACTGAAAAAATTAATAAAACTATAAAAAGAAGAGTATAGATTATTGATTGTTAAACACTTTGAATGGACGATTTTGAGTTCGAACCCACGGCACATCCCCACTATGTATTGGGAATATCTTCCGATAATAATAGTATCAGAAATAATGAGGCATCATCGGGAGATTTTTCCAATATACAGCAGGAATGTACTGTAGGACGTTGTGGAAAACTATCTTGTGGGGGGCTGATTTCAACTTCATGATTTTTGCTATCCAGAGTATCAATACTTTGAGCCTTATCCAAAGACTACAAGGGGATTCACATCATTAAGAGAATAGAGGGAATGTTAAGTTTGGAAAGAATGCAAATATAAATATTATAGTGCAAATTCATACAAAATATATATAAGGATTTGAACTCTTGCATATTTGCATTTGTACTCTTTCCAAATTTAGTACAAATACAATGTTTTGCACTCTAAATATTTATATACGTACTCCTTTCAAACAGAGTCTAAGGTTGTGTTTGGTTTGAAGGAAAAAGTAGGAAAAGGTAGGGAAACCTATACGAACAAACTTGTATAGGTTTGTTTCCCTACCTTTCCCTTCAAACCAAACATAGCCTAAAAGTAAATTTTGTAAAATTCAAACAAACTGTTCACCAATGAACAGACAGCTAAGATGACCACTCGGCATCCCTTCAAATGTAGACACTTTCCATGGTAAGAATCTCACGTGCATCCTACTCTCTCCCTCACCCCGCCCCTTTGTTCCCCATTAATGTGCCACAAAGAAGGGTAAATGTTCACAAATTTAGACCAAAAGCATGTTGTATTGGTTTAATAAATAAGAAAAAAAAATAATTGGTATTAATTGTCAATATTCCAGGACAAAAGATTATTGAACTTTTGCTCAAGAAAATTTTGACTTTCACGCACAACTAACGAATGTGTCATTGCAGGGAAATTGGATTTAGTCCTCACAATACCATGCTCACACTGTTCATATACCCTTGCATTGGGAATATCTCCCCACAAAAAAATAATATACAAGTATGGAGATATTCACTACACAGCTGTAAAAGGCTGTGAGAACGGTGTGAACATGGTCTTGTTAGCACTGAATTCGATCTCTTTTGCAGGAGAATAAGTTTGGCCATCTACGTTTGTTGCAGGGTTTTCCCCCATATGACGTATTATCTTGTCAACAGCCAAATTTGATCCAACCCAATGGATTTGCTATTTACATCCCTTTGGGGAGTATCTAACCCACAAGGGGCCAGGCCATAGTAGGTTTGTCCATGATTAGGGGTGTCAATGGTGTTTGAAAATCTGATTTCGAATTTTATGTTTGATATAATCGTAACAAATTCGGATAATTCGAATATTTGATCGGTCGAATTCGGATATCATATTCTTACTGACTAGTTAATCATATTTGAATTTGGATATGACCTGATTCAATTCGATAAATATCCAAATTCAATTGATTATTTAATTTTTATATACAATATATAAAATATTTTATATAATTTATATATATATAATAATTAAGTTATATAAATAATTTATATATTTATATACTTTATATCAATAAAATATTTGTTTTATATATTTCTAATTATCTAAAATAATTAATTAATCGAATATTCAAATATTTAACCGGATCTGAATTTGAAAATTAATTTTCAATATCCAACGGATATCAAATTAAATTCAGATATCAGATTTTCTAATTAGATTCAAATTCAGATATTGGTTGATCTGATTTTACACCCCTATCCATGATTTTAGGATTCGATCAAGCGAGACCTGTCACACTGGATGAATCTAACCACAAAAGACTAATCACATCATGTGCACAAGATAGAGACACATTGGGAAGATGTTCCTATGTGCAATTCTAGTTTCTTGTGCACAGTGTCTTGTGGTCAGCAATCCGGGTTGAGCTACGTACAAACAGAAGTGTGTACAGCTGGCCATGAAATTAATTAAGAGGGAAGGAACATGCTAGTGTTATGTACACACGAAGCCCACACCATGAAATACCGAATATGTTCATTCCTGATTGCTCATTCCATTCCCTTCCTACAACACCTATAGACTATAAAGTGTACAAGTCATGGGAGTCCAGATCACCTGCCAACAAATTAAAATAAGTTCCAATACTCTTCCAACATGACCTAACATCACAAATCTTATTATGAAATTAGAGCCCACTATAAAAGTGGGACCCACTAATGTATGAGATGTGTGGTATCGGATCATGATGAGAGGGTGTTGGAATGAATTTCCTGATTGGACCCTATAATTAATCAAACTTTCAGTGTATCCAAATATGTATCCATGCATATCTCAATAACATTTGCTTTTTTAAATCCGGACATGTCACTTAAAATCACTCTTGATCCTTATTATACAGTTAGGACTCGAGATATATGTAATCCTGATCCTATTGATAATTAAATGCAGACTCAGACTAGGGGTGTTTACATGTCGGATTGGGTTGGTTTGAGTCATTTTTTTCAGCTAAACCGACCTTGTCGATTTACTTATTGGCTAAACTGAAAGTAACTGGCACTGAAGCAAAACTGACCCAAACATGAAGGGCCGGTTTATCGGTTTAGTTGGTTTTTATATATTTTTTAAATTAAAACATCTATATCTAAATGTCTATTTATATTTTAGTTTATTTCTTTTTAGTTTTTATGCAAACCAAAATATATATTTATTTTTGTTAATATATACTTAAATTTATACAAAACTGAATTAAATATTGTACCATTGTATTATATTTATATTGGTTTAACGTTTTTAGTTTTTATCATAAATAATTAATTTTTTCAAAATTCAAACAAAACACAAATAAAATATATCAACATTTAACATATAAGGTAGGGACTAATTAATAATTACTTAAAAATATAGGATGGGTTCGGTTCGATTTGGCTTCGGTTTTCATAAATGAAAACTGAAATTGAACCGAGTTGTCGATTCATTTTTTCTTACAAACCGAAACTGACCAATGACTTTGAAAAACCGACAAACTCGGTTTGGATTGGGCCGGTTTGGTCGGTTTAATCGGCTTGACATTTAATGTGAACACCCCTAACTCAGACCGTGTCTAAGGTCAGGTCGGATCGGTTTGGATCAATCGGGTCAGCCCAACACTCCAACCCACCGCCAGGTGCCAACCCTTTCTGTCACAGTAAAAATAAAAAACAGTGGGTGTGATTGGGAGGGAATTGGGACTGGTCTAATGCATAGAGAGCCCGGAGTCTCCTCTATCAGTCAAAGTTCGGAAATAAGAATTCCAATTTACCTGTTTTCAAACCCGACTTACCTGTTTGATGCTTGAAATCTGGATGGAACTGTGGAAGAAAGAACCCTGGGATCAATCCAGTCGACTCCAGACTCCAGACTACAGACTCGGAAAGTGGCAAGGACTTCAGGGTGTCCATGGGCAATCTAACAGCAAATTATTGGTAATTTACTGTTTTGTATGGTATGACAATGCAAGTGGTCTTTACCACTTTCAATTTCAGATATATTTTGATTTCTTTCGGTTGGTTTACCACTTTACTTCGATTTTAGATACTAGGGTCATTGTTGCACAGAGACATCGAGGACGAGCTTCAGTGTTTCTCGTTCTCGCTTCATAATTCTGGTCTTTGATCTATAAATTGTTCTCTCTAGATTATTGCACTCCATCCACCTATAAAATCAAATCCTGCAAGTTCTGAGACTAGGCATATCATGAAACCATGGTCCAAAATGCTTATTGGCTGTGTTGCTAAGTAGTTAAGTACTTCACATTACATATAGTAGGATGGGATTATTTTGGCCATGACCCGTCCAAAATGAAGCTTTCTTCTTGGTCGGGTATCAACTAGTCGTGGGTGGTGATAATCTACTGCTGCTCCCCCTCCCTCTTTAGAAATTAATTTGAGATGAATTCTTGCTGAATAAACAAGTAATTATTAGTTATTCCTTAATCAACTAGAATCAATTAGATAGAACTACATAGGCGACATTTTGCTATATACAACTAAAAACTAGTATCAGCATTATTCAAAACCATCTTGAATAAAGAAAATAAAATCGATCATTCATAGGTCATCTTATCTGGCATTTCTGACCTTCCTATTACATAGAATCTACTGTACTCCAAACATAAAAATATTAATTCACTACATAATGTTAAAACTTACTCCAAACGTGGTTCAAACCATTGATCTGAGAGGATCATTGAGTGGTCAGTTCAAGTGTAATCAGCGGCGGAGGCAAAAAATTCAGACAATCAATCTCTACAACTGAGCAGAGCAACCTCAACTATTTACTGTACATTCTTTCAATAATTCTCAAGAATGAGAGCGTCCGGTAAACACACCCCTCATGTATTTGTTTCTGAATTGCACTGATGTTCTCTGTGGCAGCTTCTTTTGTTCCAGAACATATTTGAACAGCTCACTCTCTCAAGTCTTGGCCCATCAATTTTATCCTGCTCCACTGATGTGCCTTGTGAGTGACTAGGAGATTCATCTTGCATTTCTCTCTCTTGGGGCTCAAGAGATGGGCATGACTCAACATTACATGTGCACAAGGGAATTGCAACAGAATGGAATGGATTACAGGAAACAGGGCAAATAAGACCTGAAGAAACTGTTGTGACACGATTCTTGCGGATCTCTGATGCACAAGCAGCTGGTGGAGTGTCCAGATCACGAGAGTGGAGAATGCACGGGGTACAGAGGCCAAGAGATAGATGTAGTTTGAGCTCCTTTGCTGGGGAACCAGGCAATTTCAGAAAAGAAATTATGCCATGCCTGCAAAGAGGGCATGGAATAGACCCAGGTGGGCCAACCGGTTCAGATGGGATGTTGCTTGTCGAGCAGAGATAGAGAGCACATCTTACGCAAAGCTCATGCCCACAACCTGCAAGTAGAAATAAAACAACAAAAATGATGGTGTACCTACTTCACCAATTCAATTCAATAGACATCACTTGCATAACAAGTCAGGTTAGACAAAACAATACCCGACATTAACTTGCAACCAAGAAATTATTTTGATAGGTAACAAGATTCATTAGCTATTGAGAGAAAAAGAAATACAAAAGGGCAAATTTTATTCTCTCCTCTAAATGTATATAACTGAATTTCCTTCAAGCAACAAAAAAAAATAAACACTACATTTTCTTTTTTTTTTTTATAAATTACATTCATTAACATTTTTTGCATGTGTGAAAACCTAGTGTTGTTAAAAAATATTTTTTACAACATATGAGTAATTTATTTTAATATAAAATATTAATCATTATAAATTGTCAATATCAAAATATTTCAAAATAGTGTTTGTACATGAAATTCGATTTTATTATGTCCCAATTTACCAAAAAGGTTTTAATTTGAGAATTATAGAAAAATGCTTAAAATAGTTGCCAGGCTAATTTTTTTCTTTCCAACATAATGTACATATAATATAATTTCCTTAAAGGTAGTTTATGATTTGTACTAAAAGCAAACAAGGATATAATAGGGGAAAAATATAATAATGGGCATATTTCTAGCAGAGAAAATAAATTTTCCCATTTAAAGGTTTATTGGTTGATTTTTTTTCTTCCAGATTGCATAACCAAGAGGACAAAATGTATGAAGAAAGTTTTTTAATGGAACTTTTATTTTCTAAGACTCAAACATTACAAATACTAGAGGGAAGAAAACATAATTAGAATATACACTTCAGAGAATGAATTTGCCAGATGCCAAAAGAGGAGGGGGAAAAAGGCAATAGCCGCAATACTGCAAAACATACGAGTGGGGGTGGGGGCAGAACCACAACTGACGCCTCTTTTTGCAACTACAATTATTAAATCAAGTAGAGATTTCTGGAGTAATGAAGCAAAACATGAATTGAAAACGATAGTATCAGAAAGCACAGAGGATTGCAACTACCCCGTGTTATTAAAAGCTACTTGCAAGGGGAAAAATGGTCCTTGGAAGCTAAGCATGATGCATACATACCCCATTGTTTTTGCACATCATGAAAATTTCTAGGTATATCTCATTCTTCCACTCATTGAGCAGATGAAAAGCATAAGATATCATATATGTATCATTTCTCACTTTCTCCAGGCCTCCTTCATTGAGTTCTACTCCACTACGAAAACAACCATTCTTCAAGTAGTTCCACTTTTTTCTCCCTTTTAGAAACTCTATGGAATCTGCTCAAAGGTGTTTTCCTACTTTCCCCTTCTGACCAGATGTTTTAGAAATATCTGAGATGGAACCATACTTGTTCAATACTCATCCTCAATTGATGAGTTTAGAGATGCTTATGGAACTCTCTGGGTCTGCATGCTGATAAATGATTTTTTTTTTTTTTTAAGTAGCAATAATAGATCATTTAGGTAGGAGTTTCTATAAGGTAAGGCCCCCTTGTCATAGAGATGAATATTACATTTGAAACTTTGAGGAATGACCACATATATAAAAGAGCTGTCTTGATTGAGGGTGAATGGTGGTGATACAAACTCAAGAATGGTCAAAACAATTAAATGGCAATTGTTATGTTGTTTGCCTTGTGAAGCTTACATAACTGAGCAACCTAGATCAATCTTTTTTGGTCATTTCTTCTTCGTACTTTATCCACCCATCCAAAAACTGTAGAGTCTTGCGCTCAGTAAAATTTTCTTTTACGTTGTCAATCCACAATAACTACCTCTTATTTTTCTGTTATTTGCTACACTACTCTGAGAACACCAAGCCCTTTGTCCAAAGCAAGGGGAATGACTCCAACTTTATCTTCATATTTGGTCCTACTCCTTGAAGCCCCAAAACATGAAACAGGAAACAAATAATTTTTTTAATTGATAATTCCATAGAAGCAGTGACAAGTGCAGTTTTAAATAGCATTAGGGTGGCAAAAAGATGCAATCTACACAATCTGATTTTAAAAGGTGATTCTAAAATAGTGGTACAGTGGTTAAAAAATCAAGGTTTGGTACCATGGAGACACGGGAATGTAATGAAGGAGATCAAGTTGTTGATGAGGGACAGAATTATAGAAGTGAGATGGGTGCATATATAAGCAAAGGGGCTTGCTGATTCATTGGCAAAGCAAGGGGTGGACAGGAATGAACTCTTTTGGGGTTTATTGGGGGACTTGAATGCAATGGTTTGATATTATAGTGCTTTATCTTTTTCTTCATATCTTCTAGATATGGGGAGCCTCTCCCCACTATGGGGATGCTTGGCATTTTCTACATATTTGTTTTTAGTCTTTAATAAAATTTACCTGTTATCTAAAACAAATGCAAGCATGAGAACTTCCAATTTTGATGTTGAGTTACCCAACTTTGGGGAATTATTGTGGAGACTCTGTAACCAAAATAGCACCATTTCTTGCAGTTTGCATAGAAAATTGCATATCGCTTTCTCTACTTCCATCATCTGACTTACAAACTTCAAGAGAAGGAACTTACTTAACAAAAATCTGACAAGAAGTACTAGAAAAGAAAGGTACAAACCTTCAGCAGATACACTACATGCTCTCTCTAGGCAAACAGCACAAGTATCACTGTCATCAGAGGAGGCTGCTGAGGACTGCAATCCACATTCTCTGCAGAGAATTGCCATGAAACAAATTCTGTCTTTAGAAGTAACAGTCAGATGGTTCTGAAACATTGCTTTTAAATGATAAACTCAGAAAAAGGACTGGTTCCATATGATAACTCAGAGTAAAAATTTTCAATTTTGTCAAACAAGAAAATGAGAAGAAGCATTTGAACTTAATTTTTAGTACCTTTCATAGTATGCAATAAGTTCCTGACAAACTTGCAAGGATAAAAACCATGAACCAAATAAAATATAGATTTGAATTAAGATATAATTGTTATGATTAACTTGCATGGAAATAATTATATGATTATATCAGCAATAGCAGAAGCATGCCCATTTGTTGAGTTTTGGGCTGATAACATTTGTTTTTATTTACAAAGCATAGTTAGAGAGTTATTGGGCCCAAGGCCCATTAGTTTATGTTTTAGACTGAGTGTTCACTTAGTTTTTACAGTCTTTGTATTCAGTTTTATTTATGAGTATATAAGCCAGTGAAAGGGGCGGCCAGACCTGATTTTTTGGCTTCTCCCCATTCTCTTCAACTCTTCTCTTCTCTTCTCTGCACAAACCTTCTTTTTTCTTTCTTTCTCTCTTTCACAGATTTTATATCAAAACAGAATTTTTGCCCTTTTCTACTCCGTTGATCATATTACATCCACAAACAGAAAATACTAAGAAGACATCCAAGAGAAGTCCCCTCCCCCAAGAAAACCCTAAGACACAACATAATACAAAATGAACAAAAAGCATTTGCTTGTTTCCATAAATAGTATGACAAATCCCATGTAATGAAGAATCTGTCACAAGTGCATTAGTAGTAGACAAATACTGGACAATATAACTAGATATAAGTTCAAAAAATATTTTAGTTTGGAAAAACATCTTGGGCCTATTAATCCAAAGATATTTTATCCTTCAACTTAGAAATTTACCCAATGAAGCTAAATCAGCTAATGCTATCAACTTAATGTAGAATAACAATTATATGGGGTTGTCCCATATAATTATCCCAATTATGTGGGGTAAGCAACATAAATCCTGGTTTTCCATTCCATTCCATTCAGTGCGATATCCATTGTTAAATTATATAAGCCCATTAAATAATTCTTACTACCTCAACCCATGCACTTTTTGGTCTGCCCCTAGCTCTTCTAGCCCCTTCCACTTGCAACACATCACTTCTGTTATATTTGAGACTCTCTGTTGATCATTAAGAGGTTCTGTGGTAGTAATAAAGTAATACGATAATTTTCTTTTTCAGCTTCATAGGATTATTTCCATTTTCAACTAGAAGGAATACAAAAGAAGTGAAGAAATATTTTATGGAAAGCCAACAGAATTCTAAGTTATACTTATAGTCTGATGTGCTGCTTCAGCATGAGCATATGGGCAGAAACTAGTGGATTAATCACCTAGTAGAGGAAAATGAAAATTTGAAACAGACCTGTGACATCAATAGAATAGAGGATTTACCAATTCAAGGTTTTGTAATAAGAGCCACCAAAACAAATTCCCACCTCACTCCAACTATTGAACTTATGGAATGGTTCAGAAATCTCCCCTGGTGCAACTAGAATTATGGTGAAGTAATTGCATTTATTATGGTCATGTAACAAAGATGCTCCATTTATCAAAATCATGATGTACACATACACATATACCCACCCAAATTTGTTCTTAGCATGTTTACAAGTGAACATGCACGATGCTCTTACATATAGGTTTCATAAACAAAGACTTGTATAATGCAAGGCATCAAACAAAGCCAATGGAAACGAATTTTCCAACCATATATCTGAACCAACTAGGTAATTTGGGAAATCAAAATATAAATAAACAGCTAAACTGACTGAAGGGTGGGATGGAAAAATGCTTTTAAGTATGGAGTAAATCACAAGAGGGTGATATCAAGATCAATACTTGAGTTCAAGGAAAAGATTTGGACACACTAAAAACCAAATCTAGCATCTTAGTCAAGAAGAACCTATCTTACTTTCCCTTTGTTGGAGAAGAGTAAGACTAAGGGGTCTATCATGCAATGCATAGAGTCCATGTATCCATATATAGTGATCCTTTTTTATATCAATACAATTAATGGTTTAGTACTTTGTCTTTTAGTGAATGTCATTAAGTAAGTTGTGAGTTCCTTAATAGCTGAACAGCATATTGGATTGATTACTAGAGCCATAAATTTTTTATTATATTACTACTTTATACACCAAAACCTATAGCAGCAAGTCATTCTATTCAGCTACTTAAGCCACTTATCAAACTGCGCCTCTCTTGCCGGTGCAACTCATTAGACCATGGACATTCACTTGGATTTATGAACACCAAATTTGCTAAACCATAACAAGAGCCTCATGAAGTCCCATGTAGACATAGAGAAGGGCAGCAGTTTGGACTGGATTCCTTTTCTCAGCCTTTGGCCCAAAATCATAGATTTTCCAATAGTCCAGTATTTTCTTCATTTCAGCTATACAATTTTTTTTTCTGAAAAAAAAAACTAAATGAATTGATTTAAAATATAAAGATGGTTTTTTAATCAGTTTTCACAATCAATATTCACCAAAGCATAGAATCACGGAACCCCTTGTTTTTGAGGCCCTTGCTACGTAAATCTTTTTTTTATAGATACATTGCCGAGTAAATCTCTTCCCCTTCTTTTTTATTTGTACTTCATTTCTCCTTTCAGCCTCCACAGTTGTAGGATGCTGTTTTAAAGAACAAAGCATATCTAGTTTCCCAATTGCAAGGCTTTGACAAAAATGGTTTAAGAAATAACTTTTGTGAACAGTAGTGCCCATGACTTACCAAAAAAACAAGGTAAGTTTTATCTTCAGAGAAATTATTTTTCTTGTTGAATGGGATTGCGAATTAGATTAAGACCATAAAAAAGGTAAGTTTATATGCAAAATTGTAAGCAGTTGACAAAAAAATATAACCAGTAAATGGTAAAGAAAAGCATCAAGGAAATGCATGAGAAGTGGCAAAATAATCCACACACCCCCACAGGGATCCCCCAAGTGCTTGTATTTCAAGGATGGTGTTTCAGTAAGAAACTGTTCAAAGCTTTAGATAATTAGGGCTATACTTACCTTGCTATGTTAAGCACACTCATGAGAGGCAAGGATAGATATTTGGATAGAGGAAATGCCGGTACTACCAAGTCAGAATTTGGTGCTAAAAGCGGTTCAAGCCAATGACGCCCCCATATCCTTGCTACATCAAGAGGCAACCAACTGAAAGAACATAGGAATTCCTTTAATACATGGCACAAGCCCCCTATGCAGCTAACAATCACTATTAGCATAGTAGCATTATATCCATTCTAGACAAGTTGTTACCCATTGCAGTTCAATGTCAACCGACTGGCACCTCTTGCAAGAAGGATCTATAGAAAAAAAAAATTAAAAATAATGTCCTTTCAAATTCAGAAAAAAAAAAGAAGAAAAGTAATAACACAAAAAGTAGTTACCTGGCAACTTTTCAGATTTCCTCCACAAGCAGCATAATGCAAAGGAGTGCTTCCAGCTCCTACAAATAAATCAATGTGCTGAAAAAATAGGACAAAAGCAACCATTTTGACAAAGGAAACAGAAGTAATCAAAATTCAAACAACAAAATACCTATTAAATCCATTGATGTTCCATAATGAAATGTCACAGAAGAGACACTCGCATGAATGTCAAGCAAGAGCTGAACGCAATCAAAATACCCATTCAGTGCAGCCATATGAAGAGCAGTTATACCACCATCAGCAGCTTTATTAACAAACTTGGAGAGCACACTGCATTGAACAAATATAATTATTTAATGGCAACAATTTTGGAGAAAAATAAGATATTAGCATGAATACAGATAAAGGATAGATGTTTCTGAATTGCAAAGATTGAATGAGGGCAGATCACTAAGCAAGCAAGCCTTAAAGTTGGAACAAAATAAAAGTAAAAACAGTCATCCAACATTCCAACCCTTGTTGTGAATGTTATTTTCTTATATTAGGCTATAGATAACCAAGTGTAAGGAAAAGGAATGGAAAAGAAACAAACGACATACTTTTGGTCATATTTGTTCCTCAAATTAGAACCATCACCTCTATCGCCAGTGATCTGAGAAATGACGACTTCATAAGGAACACTTGGAACAAAGTCGGCCACCACAAGTCTTATACATCTAGCATGCCCATTAACAGCTGCAAAATGAAGAGCCGTCCTACCACTGAGGTAGTCTGCTCTTGTAACCTATTACATGAGTAAAAACGCAAGCACACATAAGTAAATAAATAACTAAATAAGCAAAAGAATAAATAATTCTGAAAAGCAAAAGATCCCAAATTATCCACATGATTTCTTTTAAAGAAAGGCCTGGGGGAAGAACTTGAGGAAAGATAACTCACATTGCTTCTGTACAAAAGAAGAGTCTGTACAACTTCCCAGTGCCCATACCGGCAGGCTTGCATCAAGGCCGTCTTACATGAGGAAGAAAAAGAATCAACAACTAGGTTCAACAATAGCTTGTTTAAGTCTTGTTTATTAAGAACCAATCCAACTCTAACACATTTAATTAAACCTGAATCTATGCCAGACAAACTTTAATACAAAATTATACATAACAATTTGAACAATTGAATTGATACTCAAAGTTTTCATTTACTTATGATTGAACAGGAATAAATTGAATCAGAAAAATTACGAACCAAGCAGAATAGGACAAACATTCTTTTTTTTTCAAAGGATCTCAGTTTACCTGACCACAGTAATTCCTGGAATTGACGTCTGCACCATTCTCGAGCAATAATGAAGCAATCTAAGGCAGAACCAGATAAATGGAGTGCACAAAATTAGAAGAAATAGAGGTGGAGACTACAAAAAGGATGGGAAGGAATGAGAGAATTGATACCTCGTTGTGTCCCTTGGCGGCAGCGAAATGAAGAGGGGAATTAAGGCCGCCGAAGGTGGAGTACCTGGCGAGACAAGGATTGAACTCGAGCAGCATCTTCGCTTCCACCAAGTCCCCATCTCTTGCCGCCGATACCAATCTCTCCCCTGACGCCGAGCATCCAAACGAATTTCCCATTTGTTTCTTTCTTTCTTGTTTTCTTGTTGGTTCTTTATTGGTTATTTTTGGGTTGTTTGGATGGGTCTCTCTATAGTTAGTTTTCTCAGTGGCTCATTTGTCATACAAATTGCACACCAAGTTTGACAGAAAGCTCCCCACACCTACCTCATGAAAACATTCACAGAAGGGAGAAAATGGAAAATAAGAAAAGGAAAGGTAAAGGTAAAAATAAATAAATAAAGGGGAGGGAAGAAGGAGAAAGGACTTCCGAGCGTTGCCTCTATCTCCCTCTGACTAAATCTGAAAAAAAAAAAAAAAAAAAAACGAAAGGAGAAGCAAAAGAGTATAGAACAGAGGTCTAGTTTTTTTGGTTAGTTTTGTTTGCCAAACTTAGATAAACTGCTCTGGGCCATTTCGAGTGCAGAAAACGTGAGAAGAGAATCACAAAACAACCCCCAACAATTAACAACTACGAACAAAGACGACGAAAGAAGGGAGAGGAAGGGTGGTGGTGAAGAGAGTGACGCGTTTGCATGCTCCTACCTTTTATCGATATTTTATATCTTCCCCATTTCAGTCGTTAGTTCTCTGATTGGTTTTCTACTTTAAAAATACACATCTCTCTGTCTGAATCCAACTCTGCTCTCGGCTTTCCCGTTTGAGGGAACAGAAGAGAAATAAATTGCAGGGTCTTGGGTCTGAGTGGGAGAAACGAGATGAAAGATGAAAGGCGCTAATAATCAAAACAGATAGGGAGGATGAATTTACCTCTTCCTATAAGGAAGCATCTCTTGTTTGTTATTTCCTTCCACCCGCTCCTTCCGGTTCCAACCAACGGAAAGCAAAAAGCCACACTACCTCCTCCTGTACTAATCAAAATCTTCATGTGTGTCGGTTACTAAAGATAATATTTTTACGCTACGGGACTCTCTTCTCTCTCTCTCTCTGAGATCAGTAAAAACGTGTATGACTTTGGTTTTGTCTGACTGTTGTTGAACTGAAACCCGAGGCCATACGGCTTGGTTCTGGCTTCTGGGTTCGCCAATGACAGAGATGGTCAAACGGGTTCGAAGCTTGATGTGGTGGGGATGGGAGTTGGTAACCTCTTCTTCTGTCATCTTTCATTTCGAGGGTCCGCCGACGATTGTGTGTAAATTTGGCACTTTAGGAAAAAAATCCATAAAGCAAAATGGAGGAACAGCACCAAAGACAGAAAGTTTGATGCGACAACCAAACCTACCCAACAAACAAACAAACAATCGATGAAAGAAAAGTACCAGCCACTTCTCTCTCTCACTCTCCTTTTCTTCTCATCTCTTTCTTTTCTGATCCTTCTCCTTTTACAAAACAATACAATAACAATAAGCTTGATGATAATTTATGCACCTGATATCACGTATGGACTGAAACTGAAAGTCTGCAACTAACCCAATTCTTGGACCGTGATCACGTCGGGTTAAGGATATGAACCGGTTACCCAAATTATATCTGATTATTGAAAATTTGAAATTTTAAATCCAAATTACGTGAAATTATAAAATTAAATAAAATTATAGGAAATCTCATATAATAATAATATTAAATTTATTAATTATAAACTTTATATAATTATGTAGACACGTTATTATATTACATATGTAAATAGAGATAATAAATTTTATTTAGACTTGAATTATATTTTAATTGGATTATATGTGATTAAATCCATATCGGATCTGATTATTAAATAGATGCAAGTTTTAACATCCAAATCTGAAATAATTAAATCAAACATTATTATATGTAAATAGAGATAATAATTTTTATTTAAATTTGGATTTTAATTGGATCAAATGTGATCAAATCTACATCGAATCTTATTATTAAATAGAGCAAGTTTTAACATCCAAATCTGAAATAATGAAATCTTGAATCGAGTTTTAAATTCTTGGAATCTATTGGATCTGTTCATCACATAGGGCTCTTTACATCGACCTCATGGGTGCATGCCACCATGCATTGGGAACATCTCCCATACTTATATCTTATTATTCATAGAAAATGTTTTCAAATGCATGATAAGATGTGGCTGTGAGGTCAATGTGAGATGTGTGAAGAGCATATCCCAATTCTATTTCAAGGGCATAATGACTTGGATGCATGGAGATGACTTGGGTAGATGCTGATCAATTGATTGGGCCTTCTAGGCTTCTATTCTTTTAAAGGCGGGTGTTGTTTTCCTAAAAAAAAATTGTTACGTATACCTCACATGGCAAGGAAAGCATCAAATTGGGTCCAACCCATCAAAATGATTGTTGATTAGCGAAAGTCCTATTTAAACTTTTTAATTATCAATGGAAGGAATACTTATAATAAGTAATCTAGGGCTCTCTCCCTTTTGACAAGCTTTTTCTTTTGGGCTTTGAGCTGTAAAATACAAAAAAGAAATTGATGAGGGCAGATTTGGCCCTCCACTGACATCATGACACGTGGTATCTCAAAATAGTTGGACGACACCCCGATACCACAAGAGCGATGACTCGCTTTAGCAAAAATGATGGAAACCCAATTGCCAACTTATTGGAGACCCAGCTAGCGACCTACCTCCGCCGACCTAATGGAGTCCCAGCTAGCAACCTCATACACAACTTGGGCACCTCGACAGGGCGGCTAGGAGCACCTCATCCAGGACCGACTTAGGGTACCTCGTCATTACTGGTCCAAAGGACCTCGGTGCGAGGAGCGACCTCCCTTGAGGACTTGTCAACTCGATTGAGGTCTAGTGGCGACCCGCGAGATGTGCTCGCCAACCTCCTCCGTGTGTGCATCCTGTCACTCCTAGGTCTTCTAGAAGCCAACTCCTACATCGAATGTTTCGAAGGAAACCAAATAAGGCACAAAGCCTAGTCTACGTGCGCCATAACCTCCGAGAACTTCAAATCGGCCAGCCACGTCTTCCTAGAGATCTCGGACGTGGTATGTGAAACCCATGCCAAACAATGCCTATATAAAGGTCTCATTTCCAACCTTAGAAGGTCCGCATGATTTAGCTCTCACTTGCAAGGAATTTACCCAAGGTGACAACGAAGACACACTTATTCGGGTTCAATTTCATGTTAAACTTACATAGAATTTCAAAAACCGAATGCAAATCTTGTATTAAATCATGTGAAAATTGGGTTTTAACGACTATATCATCTACATAACATTCTATTTTCCTACCAATCAGTGGCTCAAATAATTTATTTACAAGTCTCTTAAAGGTTGCCCCAGCATTTTTCAACCCAAAGAGCATGACCTTGTAATAGTACAGGCCGAGCTCGGTTATGAAGGCAGTCTTTTCTTCGTCAGCTGGATCCATCCTGATTTGGTTGTAGCTCGAATAGACATCTAAGAAGCTCAGCAACTCATGCCCTGAGGTCGCGTCCACCAGACGGTCAATCCTGGGGAGTGGGAAGCAGTCCTTTGGGCAAGCTCAGTTCAGGTCGGTGTAGTTGACGCACATGCACCCATTAGCCTTTTTTACCAGAACGGGGTTGGCCACCCAGCTTGGGTAATGAGCTTTCCTGATAAAGCCAGCTGCGAGCAGCTTCCCGACCTCCTCGTCGACTGCCCTCCATCGCTCTGGACTAAGTTGCGTTTCTTCTGTCTAACGGGCCTAACTATAGGATCAGTATTCAGCTTGTGAGTCATAATGCTAGGGTATATGCCGGGCATCTCTGCCGCGAACCACGCAAAAACATCTAAATTTTTAAGTAAAAAACTTACCAGTTGGGATCGCAGAGGCTCCTCAATAGAAGCGCCGATCTGAAGTGTCCGAGTTGGGTCCTCTGTCGATGCCGGGATGGAGACTGTCTCTTCTGTGGGTGCAGCTCGTTCCTCGCATTGCTCCGTAGGTCGTTCCAGCTCGAGGTCATCGGCCACCTTAGCTTTCCCTTTGAGGGCGGCGACGTAGCACTTGCGAGACTCAAGCTGGTCACCCCGCGCTATCCCGATTCCGAAGTCTGTGGGGAACTTCATTGCCAGATAGTAAGTGGAGACCACAGCACGTAGGGCATGGATGATCGGCCGACCTACTATGGCATTGTACGGGGAGGGGGTTGCGACCACTAAGAAGTCGTGGTGGAGCCTCACTATGCTAGTCCAAGTGCCAACTTCCACAGGTACTGTAATCCTTCTCAGGGGCCTGACTTCCTCTCCCTTGAAGCCTACGAGGGGAGTATTTGCGGGCTTCAGGTCACTTTCTTGGAGTTGGAGCCGGTCGAATGCTGCTTTGAAAAGGATATCCGCCGAGCTGCCCGAGTCGATGATGGCACGCCTGACTTCAAAGTCGTTAATCTTTATCTTTATGACGAGATGAGCGCATCATCATGGTGGTAGTGGACCCCGTGCATGTCATCCTCTGTGAAGAAGATCGGGTCTTCCATCCTTGGCCGCTTCAGGGGATTCTGCTCTTCCCTAGCAGCCTCGCGAGTTGATACCCGAGCTGCTGCCTAAGTGCAGCCCGCGATAATTGAACCTCCAACGATCACATGGATAGTCCCCCGAACTGGTCTCTCTTTCGGGAGCTGCCTATGCGGTTGCTCTACCTGCCTGCTGGGTTCGGGAGCGTCTCTACTCTGCTCCCCTGCCGACCTGCTTTATTATTAGTATTTTGTACAAAATTCCTCGGGTATCCGCGACGGATGAGCTCCTTTATCTCGTCATGAAGGTTTTTACAGTTTTCGGTACTATGATCGTGGTCTTTATGGAAATTACAATACAAATTTTTATTCCTTACATTAGGGTCTGCCTTCAACCGAAGTGGCCACTTCACATACGGGGCGCCCTTGATGGCCATAAGGATCTCGACCCGCTTCGCGTTCAAGGGCATGTAGTCTGCCCTTTTTGCTACCGGAGCTCGGAAAGGTTGTCCTGGCCTTGCCCCCCGAGCTTGGTCCTTCTTCTTCTTACTATCGCCCTGGGTTGAGGGCTTTGTCTCCCTTTTTCTTTTCTCAAGGGCCTGTTCACCTTTCTGGTTGATCTCCTCCTCTGTTCCTATAAACTGATCTGCGAGCTTGAGGAACTCAGTCACAATCTTGGGCTGATTAACAACCACATGCCACTTGAATTCTTTATGGGTGATGCCTCGCTTGTCCGCAGTGAGCCGAACTGCGGGTTCCAGGTCGGGTATTTGCAAACAAGCATCATTGAATCACTTGATATAGCTTCGAATGGACTCCCCTTCCTTCTGGACTATGCCAAAGAGGCTCTCTTGAGTTCTTGGGCATCTTTTGCTAGTGACAAAGTGGGAAACAAAGACTTGCATGAACTGCGCCCAACTCCTTATCGATCCAGGCGCAAGGTTTCGGTACCATGTACAGGCTACCCCTTTGAAGGTGGTGGAGAAAGTCACGCACATACAGGATTCACTGGCCCTTGCCAGGTGCATCTGGGACTGGAAGGCATCCACATGGTCATTCGGGTCAAAGGATCCGTCATACTTATCCAGTGGGGGAAGCTTGAAATCCTTTGGCATAGGAACAACAAGAAGTTCTAGCGACAGAGGAGAATGAACTTAAAGAAGTGGGGTAACTTTTACCTCACCCGCGCTTACCTCTTCCTTACCCCGGAGCTCGGGCAGATCATGAGTGGGAGCTTGGTGAGCTCGGCGGCGCCTCCGCTGCTTCCTTGCTGGCTCAGCATTGGTGTTGTTGTCTTCGGTATTACCGATCTCAATGGGCCCAGGGAGGGGCTCGGACTACTGTTGGTAGCTGCAAACTGAGGGGCCTTGCCTCAAGTCTGCAGCCAACACCTCGAACTGGTTTTCTGCAAGTGGGAGGCCCCCGACTTGACTGCAGGCTGCGAGGTAGGGGTAGCTCTTTTCCGCCACGAGACGATGTACTGCATCAGGTCCTCAAGCTGGCTTTGGCAGGCCACCGGAGGGATGACGAAGGGTTCTGGGAAGGTTGCTCCAATCGTAGGGGGAAGTGGAACGTTCACGGGTGCCTCTGTTTAAGGCACATTCATACTGGGAACTCCGTCCGCAGAGAGGGGGACGGTGAACTATCTGATGCGGACAGTGGGAAGTTGGGGTTGTTCCTCAGAGGTGTTTCAATTTGCACCTCGTCCGGCATTGCTGGAAGAAGCCATGAATGCTGAATTTTTAGAGAGGGAGTTGTGGAGATTAGAGGAAGGCTTTTTGAAGTGTTCCCACAGACGGCGCCAAATGATGTTGCGCGATCCGGACACTCCTAGCTGGCGGAAACCTGGCTCCTAGCTGGTGGTGGACGGTACTTGAG